CCAGCAGGGATAGGTTGAGAAACATGATTTTAATTGGGAAAATGGTGGTCCTGCCCCGGGTAGCTCGTTTGGTTGGAGTTTTGGCCTTGATATGCCCAAGGTTATGGGTTTGATCCCCCAGTCAGGGCACATACAAGAATCAACCAATGGCCCTAGCTGGTTTGGCTCTGTGGCTAGAGCGTTGGCCTGCAGACTGAAGGGTCCCGGGTTCGATCTCTGGTCAAGGCATGTACCTCGGTTGCAGGCTTGATCCCCAGCCCCGGTCGGGGCACATGCAGGAGGCAACCAATCGATATGTCTCTCTCACATCGAAGTTTTTCACTCTCTCTAAAAATCAATGGAAAAATATCCTCAAGTGAGGATTAACAAAAGAAGAAGGAGGAGGAGGAGGTGGTGGTGGAGGAGGAGGAGGAGGAGAAAAGGAAAGAGAAGAAAAGACGGGGTGAGGAAGGCATGTGGGTGCTGGGGGATTCAAGTGAGAAACAGCTTACCCTGGAGATGTGCCCTCTTCGTCCAGCTAGTGAGCCTGGCCTACACTTCCTGGTGGAAGGCCTGAGGGGCAAGGGCTGGGGCTCCGAACTCTGGTCCTAGTCCTGTCACTCACTGGCTGTCTGACTGTGAGTTAGGACGACAGCCTCCCTCGTTGTAAAACGGGCTGCGCCGTTGTTTGCCGTTAAGCACTGACGAGGTGGAGGGCGTCAGAGGCTTTGTGCGATGCCCTATGACGCTGGGAAGTTATTGTCACCAGCCCGAGAGAGGTCTTATCCGAGGCAGGGGTCACAGGGGGGCAGAGGCAGCGAGATGACGAGTTCTTCATGCACCACTAGAGATGCTCGAAGGCCACTCACCATGGAAACAGTGTGCACTGGAGCTATTCTCATGCCTGAGCCTGTCCAAGGAGCGGCTCTTTGCTCAGGGCCAAGTTCAGATAAGCCCCAGGGAGAGAAAAATATTTTTTGTTAAAACTTTTCTTCTCCTATCTCATATAAAGATAATTGCATAAGGCAATAACTATAAAACTGTGTTGATAGACTTATGTTAAAATGTAATATACATGACAATAATAGCATCAACAAGGTTGGAGAAAACAGCTATATAGGAGCAAAGTTTTTGTAGGCTACTGAAATTAATTTACTCTTAATCCAAGCAAGACTGTAAAAAGTCAAGATGTTCATTGTAATCCCCAGTTGATTGGGCCTCGTCCTGTGCACTGAAAGGTATCCAGTTCCATTCCTGGTCGGGTCACACCTGGGTTTCAGGCTTGATCCCCACTAGGGAGCATGCTAGAGGCAGCCAATCAATGTTTTGCTCCCACATATATGTTTCTTTCTCTCTCCCTTCCTCTCTTTAAAAAGATCAATGGAAAGATTTTTTGAAAATTAAAAATAAGCCGAAACCGGTTTGGCTCAGTGGATAGAGCGTCGGCCTGCAGACTGAAGGGTCCCGGGTTCGATTCCGGTCAGGGGCATGTGCCTGGGTTGCGGGCACATCCCCAGTAGGAGATGTGCAGGGGGCAGCTGATCGATGTTTCTCTCTCATTGATGTTTCTGACTCTCTATCTCTCTCCCTTCCTCTCTGTAAAAAAATCAATAAAATATATTTTAAAAAAAAGAAAATTAAAAATAGAACTGCTTTATGACCCAGTGACTCCACCTCTGGGATATATCTGAAGAAACCCAAAAGAATACAGTGGGGCCTTGACTTATGAGTGTCCCGACTAATGAGTTTTTTGAGATACCAGCTGTCACTCGGCCGATTTTTTGCATTGAGTTGATAGAGTAATTTGAGTTAACGAGCTCCTTAAACGGAACGAATTAAACTCGTAAGTCAAGGCCCCACTGTATATGTACCCTTTGTTCATTGCAGCATTATTTACAACTAGAGGCCCGGTGCATGAAATTCATGCACGGGGGAGGGGTCCCTCAGCCCAGCCTGCAATGACACCAGTGTCCCTCGCCCCTGGCCTCTGGCCCGAGGCCCCTCCCTCCCGCCGCACAGCCAGGGCGGGGACGCTGGGCTCGTGTTGCCGGGGCAATGCCACCAGCATCCTGCCTCAGCCACTATTGGCGCCGCCATCTTTGCTGCAAAGTGATGGTTAATTTGCTTATTACTCTTTTATTAGGTAGG